CAATCCATCTACGTCCTGAGGACCTCGCTGCCACCGTCCAAGCGTGCTTGGCCCCGGCAGATGAACCTCAGGATTAAAGGGTGGGCTCAGTTCCGCGCACACTGTGTCTCACCTAAAAAAATCCAATGCGCAGGCTGGAAGGTGGAAAGACCTTCCCCGGTTCTTCGTTCGCGAAGAGACTGGCCACACATAGTTGGATGTTCATTATACTATGAATCCTGAAATCTTTTCAAAATAATTTCTTTGGAGTTTAACATTTATCAACTTTTTATTCATCACTGGCTGACCCTTGCCTGGGGCAGCCCCTGATCTCACCTCACAGAGGCTGCCCCTGCAACCCCCCCTACCACCACCAGCGCCTGATCACCTGCCCCTAAGACAATTCTGGATAAAAAGTTGATGAGTATAATGCCATGGTATCTGTCAATAGTTTATTACAGGTAGATTTGCTTGTGTATGCAAGTAAGAATATGTAGATATAATAAATAATACATCTAATATAATAATTGTATGGGGTTTTTTTTCCTCTGACACTTAGAATTTCACTGGGGTGTTGAATCCTGCAAGTTTCCATCCCCTGCGGCCTTTACCTTCCATCCGAATTTTGGTGGATAAGGTTAACCTGGAGCATTCAGTGCCGATGTATGCTGAGCAACTGGTGCATGTGGTCAGCAGCCTTGGCCAGCCATCTGACAACCTGCTTCATTACTGTTACTCACACTGCTATCTGAAGGTAAAGGAACTGTTTCTTGCTGCAGTGTGCGTGGAAAAAGATCACACACATATAGTAAATCCTGAGTGGTAGCAGGTTTCTTGGGAGAAAGTTTTCACCTTATCTAAAAGGATGTAAAGACATTTCACATAACGTTGTTGTTTGAGATTGCTGCTTCTGACTGGAGCCAAGTGCTTTGTCGTATGAACAGAGAACTTCATATGAGGAAACTGCACAGACCGAAGCCTCAAGGTCTTTGTGGCAAGGTTGAGTGAAAATCATGTGGAACAAAACCTTTTTCTTCTTCCCAGATAATGCTCATAAAATATGTAGATTGATTGCTGCAAAGTACACATAGAAACTTGATGGGATGTTACGGGAAAAACCCATCACTACCAGTAGTATTGATGTAGCAATACCGTGATAGTGAAGGTATGCAATCAAGAAGTGTTGACTAACAATTTAATTGTTTTTCATTATAAGAGGAAAAACCTCTGAATGTTCTCAATTAAAGAGGCATTATGTGAGAGGAGTTCTTATTGTGAGGTTGGCGGAAGCTTGAGCTATGGGAGATTGTTTTGAGAGTATTCAGTTGCCCTCTGCTCTCAAGAGGAGTTTTAAAACAGGCCTTCCAGCCTTTTAGGATGGACTCAGGCAGTTTGAAACCTTTTGGGTGCTAGTAAAATGTAAATATTTAATACTAGTACTGTTAGTTTTGCTCAATTTTTTGATTATCTATTCACTTCCATGCTGATATCTTTGTAAGAATTTAATTATTTAAATCTTTATTGTCTGCATGAATGAGACTGTTCCAGAATTGCATGGCAAGCTTTAAGCTTTCTGGGTGACATGTTTACCTTCTGTCACATTTAAAGTGATTGGAATAGCCATATTGCAAGTCATCTGTATGTTTTTCAGTTTGAGGGGATTTTTCTATTTGAAAACTTTTCAGCAGCATCATTTGAACGTCAGATTTGAGTTTTAAAGGGTTTATTTGCTAGCTTTAATATTGGCCAAAGTGTTCTGTTCTCATGTGAATGGTGGTATAGCATTTTAGAAGGCAACTCTACAAAAGTTCACATTCCATATTGAACAGGAAAAAATCATAAAGAATTCTCATGATGAATCCTTCTTTAGATAGGCTCTTACTAAGAAAAAAAACTTTGAAGGAAAGCTTCTAATTTCCTTTATTACCACTTTTTCATACCACTGTTGTTACAATTACCAAAAGTGATTTTATTTTATATGAAAGGCAGTGTGCAATCTGCAAGTTAAAGGATATAGGTTATTTGAGTTGATAAACTGTGATTCGACAATTTTTTAAAAATTCAGCAGAGCATAGTTAACGGGTTTTGAGTGAAGAAAATATTGTTGTATGTGTTCCTGTTAGGGCATTATTTTAGGTAGATTCCTGTAGCTATATGTGTGTTTGGGGGAAAGGAATTATCTAAATTAATACATAATTTATTTAATGTTTATTGAGTGTATATCTATCTATTATGTTATAAAATAACTTAAAAGTGATCTAATCATGCGGTGGCATACTGTTTGACTAACTGACTTTGTTCCAGGTATTTGGTTTTCAAGCAGCACTGACTTCTTTGGACAGTAAAGGATTATACTGCATCCCTGTTCCAGTTATCCCCTCATTCAGTACTGCTCTTTATGGCAAGCTGAT